ACTTTGAAGATCAATTCAGCTGGCCCCCTGCTCCCCGACCTCTTCCTACTCAGGTGATGCAGGACGTGCCATGGACGGTTAGTTTAGAGCCTCCGTCGGAGGCCGAGGTCGGAAACACGATCACAGCCCTCAATCGTTTTCGTGCCGCCGGCCCGGATTCCCTCCCACCTGCACTATTTAAGGATGGAGGTGAGGTCGTCTACAGGGCACTGACCTCCTTATTCGAACGTATCTGGAACGAAGAGAGTGTGCCGGCTAATTGGAGCGAATCGATTATAGTGGCAATATACAAGAAGGGCAGTCGCACAGACTGTGCGAACCACAGGGGTATTAGCCTAACGCCAGTTGTGACAAAATTACTGGCCTCGATTATCGTTCGTCGCCTCACTGCAGAACGGGAATCTCGGATTAGGGAAGAGCAGGCTGGTTTTCGCCGAGGACGTGGCTGTATAGACCATATATTTACTTTGCGGCAGGTGCTAGAGCAGCGCCATGCATACCACAGACCGACAATAACTGTGTTCCTCGATTTCAAGAGTGCGTTCGATTCAGTCGATCGATCGATTCTGTTCGAATTACTTGCGCGAAAAGGTGTTCCCACGAAATATGTGAACATCCTTCGTGCTCTATACTCGAACACTACAGGCCGCGTCAGGGTCTATGGTGTCCTATCGGATAGCTTTTCGACTACAAGTGGCGTTCGTCAGGGTTGTCCGATTTCCCCGTTTTTGTTCCATTTCGTCGTGGATTCTATCATGGAGTGTTCCTTTGCGGAATCTCACGATGTAGGCGTTGAAGTGCTGCCTGGTGAAAGGTTAGTTGATCTAGATTATGCGGACGATATCGTCTTGCTTTTCGACAATCTTGAGGCGGCACAATCAACACTGAATAGCCTATCCAGAGTGGTCCCATTATTTGGTATGCACTTCGCACCTTCAAAGTGCAAAGTGTTGCTGCAGGACCACCAGCCACTTGATGACCCCTTGACACTTGCTAACGAGGAACTCGAGGTGGTTGATCAATTCACTTATCTTGGCAGCTGCATCAGCAATGATGGGCGCATAGAAACGGACGTGAGCTTACGCATTGCAAAGGCCAGAGCTGTCTTCTTGAACCTGCTTCATCTTTGGCGACAGAAGGGAGTTTCCCTCCGTCTGAAAGGCCGTGTATACTAGGCCACAGTGAGGGCCGTTCTGCTCTATGGTAGTGAGACTTGACCCCTTCGTTCTGAAGATCTGAGGCGCATTCAAGTCTTTGCTCATCGTTGTTTGCGAAGCATTGCTGGTGTCGGATGGCACCAGCGTGTCCGCAACGATGATGTGCGTAGGCGAGTACTAGGTGGTGATAATCATGCCAGCTCCCTAGAACAACAGACAACACTCAATAAGTTGCGTTGGCTCTGGCACGTGCTACGCATGCCTGGTCACCGCTTACCTAGGAGGGCCTTGTTCAGTCGACCAGGTGTAGGATGGCGCAAGGCTCGAGGTGGACAGAAGTTGACTTGGCAGCGGGAAATGAAGTCACTGACGACCAAACTGGGTGCCGTTGGTCCGTCTCGCCTTCCGGGTTAGAGTCCACTTGACTCACCTTGTGCTTGGCTCGAGACTTTACAGGACATGGCTCGCAGTAGACACCAGTGGCGCGTCTGCTACTGTCTCCTAATCGGACTGTCTGTTTAAAGTGTGTTTGGTGCTGAGTTATCTGCGGGTTAATGGCTGGTTATGACGCGTGGCAGTGAAAACCGCAAGAAAGCTGTCTCGCCGATGCCGCCTTATCTTTGCACGATAGCCAGCTGTTTGTGACGGTATGTTGTCTACACAAGATGTAGGCGCCTTGATCCTGAATGTTTGCTTAGGGCATTAAGGTTTTCAGGTAAGTCCCCCTTCTCTCCCTCTTCTTATTCTTTATTTCATAGGTCCTCATGGTTGTATGGCAGCGAAGCATCAGTTCAAATGGCTGATGTACTGCTGTTGATGATGATGATGTACGACATATCATTTAGAAACCCTATACGCGCTATACCACAGTTGGCTTGTAAATCACGACGGTCCAAAACTGTCACCAGTGGCCTAGGGGCATAAGCTGCTGATTGGCGGTGCAGTGCACTGATGGTCATGGGTTCGAATCCTGGTTAATCCGAGGGATGAGCGCTACTGATGATGCCCAATAGGCTGAAACGACAGTCTAATGCTTTTCCTGGCATGTGGAGTATTATCTGATTTGGAAGCTGGTTGTGACGAACCTCAGTTCTCAACAACGTGAAGTGCTTGAGAGCACATTTTCCCAGATAGGACGACCAATAGCGTCCACACTCTTAATCACAATGATTCGGACGCAGGTAAATCCAATACAAGAAAGACCTTTATGCACCCGGAGTGAATATTCAGCTGTTACAGACACGCCTTCAGCATTGTAAAAAGAATACACAACAATCTTAATAAACAGAATATGCAGCAATGTTATTACAATGTAACTTTGCTTGTAAGCTCATAACGAATTGGGTTTGGTTGCACAAATGTGCGGCAAATATGGGATTACGGATGTGTGGCAGGCCCTTTTACGGCAACAAGTGTAGCTATACTTTTGTCTAGTTGGGGCAGTTGCTATACAGTCAGACAGTGCACCATAAAAGGGGTGACTTGCATCAGCGCGTATTTTTGAAGCAAGGTATTTGCATTAACTGTAATCAGTAAACGCAATAACGTCAAGAAAGGTCGACTTTAGACTATCGCTACATCAAGACGGTTGTGTCAATGATCTATTTAGGAGTTTGAAATGTTTCTTAGGAAACCGGGGAATGCCGCAGGGGAGCAGTAAGTCCAGAAAGACATGCGGCGGTAAATCGCATTATTAGGTAGATGGGAAAGAGGAAGGTCGCAAACGAGCAGGGCAAAAGGAAAGCTTCATCACTTTTGTAAAACTGCATTCACATGGACTGACCATGATAAATCACGGCTGAGTATAACACCTTAATAGTACACAGACTCGGTAGAGTGCAACCGCACACCATCTGTGTGAACTTCAGGGCAATCTAATGACGTTGCTAATAACTATGGTCATCGTGAAGGGAAAAGACTTCACTGCATTTTGACTCATTTAGCGATAAAATGTGAGCTCTAAACTCTTATGAAAGCTCGTCCAGATAGCCTTGTAACTTGGCTGATGAGGCTGAGATCGGATGCTGGATATCTAAGATCACGGCGTCTGCATATTTCAGTGAGATCGCTTCGTTACGAGCAGGTAATGAAGCGACATAACTGGAAAAATGTGTTGCGACAATTTGGCTCCTTGAAGAACCCCGGTGGCTGTGGTGAGTAGCAAGGAACTTTTGCCTCCAAGTCCAGTAAACTGGGTACCTACAGAGAAATGGTCCCCCAGCAGGTGAGCAGTGGAACGATGGATTCCGATATCACATAGGACTCTCTAAAGGAGCTCACGGTGTACACTGCCGGAAGTATTGCTATAGTCAGGAAAACATACTCGCGCGGATTTGATCTAATTGTCCAGAGACGCCAACGCTTAATGTATAAGATAGGCTAGTGCGTCTTCAGTGGACCTCAGTCTACGATAAGCAAACTGAAGCGGATCATGTGGAAGAGTTTGAGTCATGCTTTCAAGAGTAATCTCGAAGACCTTCAGGTTTACTGAGGTGTAAGCAGTTTACCAGTATTTACATGAACCTTTCTTTGGCACTGGTATAATCTTAGCATTTCCCCAACAGTCGGAAATTTTACATTCCTGTATGCACGACGTGTACAGGTCAGCAAGAGGCTGTGCTAAATAATCAGCACACACCTTGAGGACAACGGGAGTTAATCCGCCCGGGCCCCATACTTTTCTGGAATTTAACTTCAGCAGTTGATTAAATTCTATATTCCTGTCAGTGGCAGATGAAGAGATTGTGGGACTCACAACTCAGGCAGGTGAAGGGTAAGAAGTCTAGTTAATACTAAAACAACGAACTTTTCGGTTCAAATCTTTGAGGTTCATGCCTGGACTTGACACGCGGTGAGAGACACCACTGTGTTGTTTCAGCGTCCACCAGACAGCTCGGCAGCTATTATTTCCGAAAATGGTCTGAACATATAGATGGTTTCGACGGCGCATCTCTATAGAAATAGAAAGAGACTTTACTGCAACCTGGTCTTATTGTGGGAACGCCTGCACTTTGAGTCTACTCAGGCGTTTTAGACCCAGAGATGAAAACCGATCAGCACAGATATAAATCGTTTCCGGTGCACAGCAGGTATCAAAACGTGAGATAGCTAGTTAACTAGTCACAATACATAGACAAATCATTGTTAATGCAGTTAGTAAGGTCTGTAAATGCAATCATTTCTCGTAGTCGCTATATGTTCTGAGGTGAACATTATCTTCTTTTAAGCTTACGATCTTTACAGCGAGTGAGCTCCATGTGCTTTATTTTGCTGTAGACGGCAGGAGATAACTAGACCTTTGAGTGATCAGAGCTACCAGTCTGCGCCTGATTGCACACAAAAGCAACTTCACATTGTTTACAAAAACAAGATCTAGGGTTGCTTCAAGTCTGGTGGGAGAGTTTACAAGATTTTTAACCCGAAATCAGTGAGAAAAAGTCCAATGCTAAGGCGGTGGACAAAGCCACAATCAACAATTGCAGATTCAAAATAGATGAAGTTGCGCTAACAAAAGCGTTAAGGACTGTTCCAGCCTCGGGTCTGAGGAGCTACGGTGGAGAGATCCATGACTGAGAATGCGTATCAAGCCACCTCCTTCCCATCATTATCAACACGACCTATGACATAGTTGTGAAGGCCTTGCAATGGGAACTTATTGGGACTTTTTCACTCTGTACCACTTGATATGGCACTTGGAGTTGTGACGGCATTTATGACTCATCCTTTGGTGGTTGCTAGCATGCACCACGTCTGCTGGAAGTGACATGCCAATGATTCACCTGTGTTGACAAAGTCTTCGTCTCGAAAGCCAAACTTTACCTGTTGAGTGTACCAAATCCTTACTTATGAACCCAAATCTCCAATACACTACTTCCCAAATATCCACAACTGCCAAGCCTAGTGTATTGTGCCATCAAATGGTCGGAGATCAGCCCTTTGAAAATTCGTGTGGCGATAATAGCTGGGGCAGTCTTCTTCATGAATATGGCAGCTGCTGCCTTGCTTGGTAACCAAGTGATATTAACCAATGCCACAGGCATGTCTCAACGTAACGAAACCACTCACCAGTTGTTTTCCGAAGGCTTTATGGCAGTTTACTGAGTGTGGCTTCAACGAGTGCCATTAGGACAGTGCTTTTCAACTTTTCTAAGCTAGTCGCTCACAAATCTGGTTCACTGTAAGCTATTACTCCACAAAAACGTAAACGTTAGTTTATCAAGCTAAATTTTATAATGCTAATTATTTATCAACTACTGCATTTTTTGGCATAAATTAAGGAAAATGCAAATTATTTTTGTTTGCTTTCTTTCATTCAGAGTAAGAAAGCACCTGTATTTGTGTAATTTCTAAATAATCATGAATGGTATACCTTAATGATGTAGTTGCTATTGATTACTTCTAATAATTCCTGATATATATTCGGTGCGATTTCGTCTAATGCACGCTATAGGTCATGCTCCATGTTCATTCGGTTCCTTGCTTTGGTATGTGATCCCTGAACATGAACAGATATCAGTGGCTTCTCATTTGTTCCAGCCATCCAAGTCCGTCCTGGAGGACAGTTTCCCACCGCCACTCTATCGATACATCATGAATACTTATCGACTATTTTGGTCCTTCTACCTTATGAACATTTACCTGGTCGACCGACAGATGCTCTTGTCATAGTGTTCACTCAACTCTGGAATTCCATACGGCGAAAGACCGCCTGAATAAAAAAATACAACGATCGACAATATAGAGGCAAGTACTGGTAGCCCAGGTTATGCAGTTCCTCGTCGAAGTATTTGCTGAACTAGGCAATTTTTTTGCAAACGTTTCATCACCACTCGACGGAGGTCGCACCACGCAGCTCTACTACATACACGCGCACTGACAATGTCACTTGGCTTTCAAACGACATACTTGATCCAGAGATTGAACTCAGTGAGATGTCAGTCATTCAAAATGATCGTCCATCTCGAGGTGGCGATGTTGCTCTCTACTATCGAGATTATTTGAAATGTGAAGATCTTACCGAAAATTCCCTTGTTATTCACGACGCATTATTTTTCCGACTGCACCTAGCAGGTCGAGATGTTGGTTCACGGAAGACGCGTGATGTTTGCCTCTTAGCAGTTATCTATAGTCCTCCGAACTCGTCAGCAGACTGCGATATGATTCTGTTAAACGCTCTCCGCTATGCTGTTTCACAAAAGTACTCTCACTATCTTATAATGGGCGACTTTAACGTACCTTCAACGGCATCAGTGTCCCGTAATGGGCCATCAGTTAAATCGAAACTCCTTGCATTCATGGATACGACAGTTTTGTCTAATCAAATGCATCACCAAGCGGGCACCGCGGTTCAAACAAGCCATCAATTCCTGATTTAATCCCGACTATCGATGAGCTGATGGCTGAGTCGTTAGCATACGATCCTCCACTGGACCGTAGCGATCATTCAGTCCTAACATTGGCTTATGTGTGTTGTACCAGCATTGTTGATAAAGAAAGAAGGACACAACGAATTATTAAGGACTATTTTAAGCTGCACAACTTAGCGGCAATGATTGACTAGGGTCTACAGATGCACAGTCTAGCGAATGACGCATGAAACGGAAATTGGGTGTTGCCCACCCGAAAACCCTGCACAACCACGACGCGTTTCGATGTAATTTCATCTCATCAGGTGGAGACAGCAGGCCTCGATCCCGCGACCATTGGAATAGTAGCCGAAACCTCTACCCCTTTGGCTACCGGGTCGCGATGGGCATGGAATGAATTGAAAGGTAACATTAACTGGGTCATAAAATCGGCATCGAAGCTTGTACCATTACGGGCATCGCGCAGGACCAATACGTGGATCCGAAACAGAATATGTAAATGAATCAACAGAAGCGATGATGTCTAGGGGCAATATTCGCTAAGCTCATGTGGTACCACATGGCAGAATTACAAAGCAATCAGGAACTACTGCACGTCGCTCATTAGAGTCGATAAGTACGAATGGCAGGAGACCATGTTTCAGAAATTTACCAGTAACCCTAAAATACTATACAGATATGTGAATGGTAAAAGAAAGGTAAAACCCGGATTATCTCCCCTCAAGACAGCCAGTGGCCTAACAGCTATTGCTGGGGATGCCGCAAACGCTCTACTCCTGCAGTTTGGTTCGCTAGCTACAAATACCACGGAACCTTTACCCTATCAACTCACAACAAATGTCGTTGACTTATCCAGCATCCCGCTTACCCCAACAGCTGTCGCAAACAAATTACAGTCTCCCCGGGAGTACAGTGCCTCTGGAATCGACATGATCTGCCCAAAACTACTAAAAACCCTTGCTCCCACCATAGCAACACCACTTGCAACCTTTTTCCAGTGTCTGCTTAACTACCACATACTCCTATCTGAGTGGAAAAATGGAATTATCCCTCCAATATACAAAGGAAGTAGGCGATCGGATCCTGCCAACTACCGACCTATTACTCTCCTTCCTGCTTTATCAAAAGTGATGGAATCGGTAATCGTAGATGAACTGACACGATACTTTGAAAATCCACAATTAATTTCTAATGCCTAACATGGTCTCAGACTCAGACGATCTTGTGTCATTAAGTTGTTGCTTGCTCTGGACGTATGAATTAGGGCAGCTGATGAAGCATTCAACATAGATGTGATTTACTTAGAATTTTAAAGCATTCGACAATGTCAATCAATTCTTTCTCCCCAAAAGCTTGCTGTCTACGGTATCAACGGTTTCCTGTTCACCTGGTTAGAAGACTGCCTACAACCCATCACACGGACCGCGCGACCACGCCGACCACTCATTTGACCTAGCAACCACCACGCTCGCCTGACCGATTTGCGCCGCTCTCAAAACTGTAAAAGTACAGAACGCTAACCAACCCACTGGGTCAGGTAACGACACCAAATTGAATGGCAGAAAGGCGAAACCGAAGAGACTCCCATCTAAAGGCATTTGCGGGTTAGGAGAATGTCATCGAGTAGTAAAAATCGGTCTGGCTTGTTCGCACTGTTTGGAATGGTACCATCCGAAATGTGCAAATGCGTCCCAACAACAGTTACGGGAACGAAATAGCTCCCAAGATGCATTTTGGTTCTGTACTGCGTGTTCCACCATCCCCCTCGTTAAGTGCTTGCTTATCCTAGCTGAGAACTGCGACCGATTAATCGCAGAAGCAGAGCAGAGGAAAAACAATAAGATTACTTCAATGGAAGCGAGTATGGACCACAGAAGCGTAGCGGCTGCTAAGCAACGGAACGCTGAACAATCCGCTTCCCCTGAACCGCAATCAGCCACGCCTCCATCTCCGTTGTCTTCTCCAACGTTGGTAGAAAGTCGGGCGAAAACAGATTGTACCTAAGTGAATCGAACAGTACTCAGGGCAACGAAAATCAGGCACCATTCAAAACGGCTGGTTAAGCAAATTCCACTAGATCTGACCTCTAGCATTAACAAGGATGAAGCAGGCAAACACCAACCCTTGGTACCTGTAGCTCAAATATCTCTTGTCGTGACTAAGCCTCCCAGAACATCGGTTACATATGCAGAGATTGCTGCAAGGGTCCACCGAGAGGCCGCCGTTGCGTCCTCTTCCATTGTCAACACCGTTAATGCAAATAGAGAGAAAAAGGACAAACAATCACTTGTCAACAAGTCAGGACAAATGAGTACCATACCTAGTAGATCGCTGAAAAAGGCATCCAACAACAGTGCTCAGACTCTTGTATGCTCAAATGTCCCTGAATGTACCGCCATCACATTGCGGGATAAGTTATCAGACGACCAAGACCAATGGAACTCATTGTGTATGCAGATGAGTATCAAAGCCAAGCCTGTAAACTTGTTACGAATTACTCGTCATCCGAACTCGCCACACTATGGTGAACCCAGACTTACTCGAGTAACTGTAGAATCCTCCACCGACTTAGAAAACGTTTTGCTCTCCGCAGATGCGCTAAAACACGAATTCTGTGGGGTACGTATCTATCCTGATGTCCCTTGAAGCGCCCGACGACCAAAATGAAACACCGAAAAGGGGCACAGCAAGCAAGACCGCTTAAACACAATCTTCATACATGTCATGCCAGAACATCCTTCTAACGATGTTCAAGAGACCGGAAAGCACGATTTAGAACAGTGGCGGTTCATTCGTGAAACACTTGCTTTGGATGATGTTGTGGCACTATCGCTCACAAGGATATCTCTCTTATCGAATTATAGAGGACGCGGCCCTAGAATCCTAAAACTTGTAGTTCGGTCAGAGCAATAATCAAAGGAGGTTTTGGATCGATGGCGGAGAAATCGGAAACATCTTCCTTCCGAAATTCGGTTAAAGGTCGCAAACATTTTGCACAGCTCAAATATTAAAGCAACTGAAGCAGCAAGCATACTGATGAATGTACAAAAGCGTAACTTGACTGCTGCTTTAATTGACTCTGACGTAGGTCTAAACGAAGGCTGGGACGCACCTTGGCCGAATCAAGTTGCAAACGAGGTATTATTGACCCATCAAAAAGCGAGTGCTGACCTCCCATCGGTCGATATTCTCCAACACTTGATAGCTTCACTTCTCTGCGGGCTCCTAGAGACAGAGAAACTGTCCTGCTTGTATACAAATGCTCAGGGTTTATCTAACAAACTGGCTGAACTGAAAGATCACCAAGCTTCCGGCTCGTATGATGTCATTGGTACCAACGAGACATGGTTGCACACGGGTATGACGGACGCTGAAGTTTCGCTACCCGGCATGTTGCTGACCCGGAAAGACAGGCTCCCAAAAGGAGAAAGGGTAATTCTGTATTATTGAAACGACTTACAATGCGAAGCCGTGAAGGATTCAGACTCGCAGTTTCCCGACTCTCTTTGATGCCGGTTGCAGTTAAAATGCAGGGACGCTTGCCTTATTGTCTTGGTGTACCGCGCCCCTAACTCAACACCGGAAACCGACTACCACCTAGCGGCTGCTTAAGATGCAGTTTACAACAAAAGTACACTCAAATTCTTATCATGGGTGATTTCAAAGTACATGGT